ATGAATTTAAAAAGGTACTTACCAATAATTCTTCTTCGTTGAGAACTCAATTTTCAAATTAATTTCTACTAATTGCATATAATGTTGTTGTTATTTTTGTCATTGTCATCTGGGATATCAGGGTCAAGGACAGAAGGCCCAAGTTAATGATTTCTGAGGGTCGAGGTGGTACCGCTCAGCTGTACGTCATTCAGCTTGCCGTTTTCATTTAACGCCCATTCATTCCAACAGGCGATGCCGATCTTCTCCTTGCTGATGTTGATCGGCTGAAGGCTAGATTTATTGGTGCTAAACGTTCGGATCTGTAGACGTAAACCACTTACTGCACAGGCATCGCGTAACCGAGTCACGCAGGGTAGGGAAAGCGCTACCCAACCGTTCGCAGCGGCGTACAACCGAACTATTCATAAAATGATTGTTGATTAACGCAGTTCAAAACGTACTTAAATGTGAATTACTTCACAAGATACTTCAACTGAATTGCTGTGTCTTTGCAGAGATCGGAACTCGCTTCAACGTTGCCTGCTCGCATATTGGAGGGGACGCTATGAACGGCGATAGCAACAATATTGGCTTATGCAATTTATGCTGGTCTCTGAGGATTTTGCCTCTTCAGTTCTTTCCTCGCTACATAAATGAACTCAGTTGCAACAACAACAAAACGGCATGCCTTTCAGGTAACGAACGGCAACACGGCGTTTGAACAGAGGTGACAGTGAGTTTCGATTTAGGCTACGGAACATGTCGGCCCCGCCTGAGAAATATCGACGTCATGATCAACAACGGCAGTTTGCAGAAGGCGTACTGGCAGTCGGCCGTCATATTCGCCCCCGTTTCGTGCGAGTGTTATGTCGGTTACGGTTCGGTGTTGTACAACCTAGTCACTGGCTAAATGGTCACGAACCATGCTGACTGCCGAACCGTCTTCCTGGCTTGTACGCTATACAATTAGAACCACCGTGTCGTCAGAACCTGAATTTCGTATCAGTTATCGTCGTTTACAGTCCTCTACGTTCCGGCACCGCGAACGACCTGAATAACAAGAATAGAGTCTTTTATCTGAATAATAAAAGCTGATGATACGCCAATGTACGAACTGCGCTTGTGTCTGCAAAGCAGCGTTTAGAAACTTTTTTGGCTTCGGCCCTTTAAGTCAAAACGGACTATATCGCTTTGTCATAATCAAGATATGACAATTTTTTCTGTCTTATGCAACTGAAACAAATACTATGAAAATAAAATGCAGGAACGCAAAATTTCATATTTTCTATAAATGTAAAAATTCGAAGAATTAATCTTAAATATAATGCAGCAGTAGCACGCGTACGAAAGGAACTGCTTTCAGCAGTGACGACAATATGCTTTCATTTACAACTTTTTTGCATGATTTGCATCCAACATATTGCGATTCATATTCAATTATGAGTCATAATTTTCATTGCAACACTATGCAAAGGGCTACAGAATTCTACATTGCCTACTAAAACGAACGATTATTAAAAGAGGTTTAATGAAACAAGAGTAAAGATTCAAAAAGAAAATGAAAAAATGTCGAAAGTATGTCGCTAACGTGCATATATTGCATTACGTATAGTCTCTCTATAATTATAAAGAACTGAAGTGCTGCATATGTTGCATACCCGCATTACGCTTCAATTCAGAAGAAAGTTAAGATTTCTTCAAATGAACGGTTATGATCGTATTGAACCAGAGGGTGTAGTCGAGAGCAGCACATAAAGTAAATTAAACGGTCCGTCTTGAAACCAACAACTTAATTTTTTACAGGAGGGAATTAGAAATTATGTGCGCAGATGGTAAACAAGAAGACGGGGAGTACTTGAGGAGCTGGAATGATGCCGGTTTACACACCACCATGATTCAAGGCTATTTTAAACCCCGTCCCAGTACTACTAATATCACTTGAAGTGAGAAAGGAACGGCCTGAATATCAGGAAAGCATAACGTTGTGAAACACAGCAGTGCGTACTTGCCACTATCACAGTTGTAACCATGAAGAGTCTATCTGAACCTGAGCCTCCAAGAAGTGTGAACAGAAAGTGTTAATAAGTATATTGTTTTTCTCTATCTACGATCAGGCCCATTCTACTTGGAACATATTAGTTTGTGTAAGAATTCAATCAAATGTAACAAGCAACGACTCAGTCAACAGCGGTATCCTCTCCTAAACCAGTGGAAGAGTGCGCACATGTAGAAACAGTGCTTATGAACCGTGCAGTGAGTAGCAAAAACCCAATTTTTTCACGGGCCATTATTCATCGAAAGATATCGTGG